TTGGGAAACTATTTCCATCTGCAAAACTTTAATGCCATCTTTCATAAGCAATTAATAGTTAAAACCTTGTGTGCTCCTGTCATAATTTAAAGTTTTGTATTATATATAAAAATAATATCTGGAGCATCTCATTTATAGAACTAATAATATGGTGTCTGTATTAGTAATATCTAAGCAGAAACTCAACTTTCTGGACAAAAATTAAAAGAAGACTACACATATACATTTTAAATTATTTTTCAAAATTAAAGTAGCTCTGATTCCACTTATTGTTTAAGTATGTTGATAAAAATTTTCAATTCTTACAGTGTGTTCCTTGAAACATCTATTAATGAAATTGGACCTTTATATTGTATGTTGGTGGAAAGTTCAAGACTAATAAAAATTTCTAAAATATTAAAAAACATTATTGTTATTTTACTTTAAATGGATTTCATTTTTTTATCATTTAGATTTTCTATGTTAAACATTATTTCATAATGAGAAGTAGAATATAGAATACAAATTTATGGTCAAATGTTGATTTATTTCAGCTAAAAAATGGTGTATCATTGCTGCTTTAATTTAAAAAAAAAGAAGATTGTTTTGTGAAAAAAAGAAATTTTTTTTTTCCAAATAAAAAATATTTTGGGACTTGATAGTTACAATTTATTTATGCACTAGAGTAGAGTATTCGACCCCTTGATTACTTTAATCTGCTTAAGATACATCCAATCTAAATTTAACACCATCTTCATATTGGTTTTCAAGATCAGATGACTGATTTTTTCTTCAATAGCAATGATGTTTTTGGTATTTCATGACTTTAAGATGACCACCCAAAGATTTAATTCATAAACAGACTGTCTAAGAGAGTTCATAATGGATGAGGCAATCGTGACCAACCATTATCCATGAACCAAGACTAAATCTTCACTGTCCCTGAGTCTGAGGATTTGAATATATGTTAGTTGGAACTGGCTCTAAAATAACCAATAATTGAGGAAAGTCAGCCAGCTATTGAACATGATATGCAGGAAAATGAGGCTTGCCTGGGTTTCCCCTCAAGGCTATGATTCCATTATGAAATTTAATAAGTAATTTTGGTTTGAAATTAAAATAACTTACAGTAAAAAAAAAATTTGGCTCAAACAAAAAATAACCAAGTTGACAAAAATTTCAAACAATACCAAATTTATAATCAGCATCTGAAATTAAGGGAATTCTCTTTTAGAATTAAGGAATATTAAAAAAATAAGCAAATGATAATATAAATGAAAAATAAAGAAGATATGTTGTATATAGTTAATTTCTAAGAGCCCCTTAGAATAGAAAAAATCTATAAAAACGGTCCATTCTATAATAAACACAAAGTTCTGTATGCATTAATTTACAACTCTCTCTGTAAAAGATTTTGAACCATTTTAATTTAAAAAATGGATGTTACATTTATCACTATGATGTTAAGTATTGAATTTTAAAGAAATTTGTTATATTAAATCAGACCATTAACAAACCATCCTTAAAAAAAAAAAAAAATGCAGATACTTTATTTTAATCAGTCAAAATACTATTACATAAGTTTACAAAATAAAATAAAAACAATGAGTCTAGAACAAAAGGTTTTGTTAAAATCGATGGATTAGTATATTTATATAAACATATACTATTATAATTCAAGCAAGTATATGATTTTCACTTGAACAGACTTAACAACTGTCTTTAGTTCAACTAATTTCGAGAGGATTAATAAAAGAAAATGAATGAATAACAACAGAAGAGTATAAAAAGCTATTGTAAGGAACAATAACGGTAAATGAATTTAAATACTTTAACTTAAAAAGTATTTTTAAAAAATCTGAGAATTATATTCAGGTAACTGACAAAAAACGAAAATCCAGAACTCAGATTATGAGAATACACAAGCAAAGAAAACAGAAAACAGAAAATAAGGGAAGGAGAAGATGTGAGATGTCCATATTTTTTAGACGTTGATGAACAATTTTTTCTCTATGAGTCCCCTATTGTCGTCAAGAAAATGGAAATCTGCACCAATTATGGTCCTGGTTTGAGTAATGTACTCCTCTATAATTTCAGGAACAAAACAAACTGCAATGAGATTATCTTCTGCAATATGGAGTAAAGTCCGTCCACTGGGTAGATTGCACCTTTAGACTACATTGAAGGAAGCACAAACTGGCAATGTACCCATCCTCTGTTCTTGGTATTCTTTGGTGCCCACGATCACTACAAATACAGAAACATGACTTGTCTGTAAAAATAACAGCATTCCACTTTGTATCCTTATCTAGGCATTCGCGGCACATGATCTGCGGAGTTGCTGGGGACGCACTGTTGCTGCAGGTCATCTTAAAAGGGCATAAGATGTTAGACCAACTTCCCAGAAATGATTATGATGGTTTATGTTGGTATGGGTCTTGGCAGAACAGTTCGGCACGATGAAAAGAGTTGCTTCTTGCAATAATACCAATATTTCTATCATTCTTTGGTGCCGTAATGTGCTGCGATCCACTAACAGGTCTCCTATTGGTACTTCCGGTTTTTCTGAATCTGGTTAAATCTTGGCAGACTGGGAGACACCAACTGCATTCGCAATATCTGCCAGCTGGTGCCATTGACCACTCATTTTCAGGATGGATATCTCGGAAACTAAGCGAGGTAATGAAAAAAGGTATCTAATCAATGATATGATATCAATGATATACAAATTTTGTCAGCTTTAATTTTGTATAGAACATTTTTGTCGATGTGATGGATAGTTTTCCTGAATAAGCGAAAATTCAAAAAAAAAAGTGACATCTGGCTCACCACCTAGGAGTGGAGACTTTTAGTATATATACCTCCTTACTAGTCCAAACAATCTCCCAAAGTCAAAAATTGTTTCGCAGCCATTTCCTTCAATAATCATTCATTGACTGGACTATAATGGAAATGTTTGTTTTCAATAAGTATTTTCCATATTTTTTCCTCCCCTTTCTCTTTTATGTATGAACATTATTTTTTTTTTCTATGTCCAACTTTAATTTTCTTTATTATCATGAGCCAGCGATAGTACTTAATTATCATATTAGTTGATGTAAAAATTTCAATTAACTGCTCATAAAAAAAAGAGCTCTTGTTAGAAAATTCTGTAGGAAGAAGTGATAATAAAATATATCACACATATTTTATTTTTAATGATAAATTAAGGACAAAGATAACTAACTATAAAAGTGTATGAAAGTACTTAAATAAATTAAAAATATTGAAGCAAACGGATATTCATTCAACAAAATATTCACGGATAATTTATTCAAGATAACATTTTAAAAATTTATTTTTGAAATATAAATCAATTATCATGCTGATTGTAGTTAACTTTTTAAAGTATGAGACAGAGACATTTTATTTAGATAAAGTTGAACTACATACTGATTTCAGAGACAATTTAGCTTTACATTAAACATTTCATTGTCCAAACTTACCGAGCAGCATCTTTGCAGTAAGTTTTCATCTTCACTAAATATGTCTTTATTGTAAATATGAATCACTTTTATGGAGAAGTGAGTTCAATCCTCACTAGGTATGTTCACGGAACATAAATGAAAACAGATCCTTAATAGGACTTTGTGGCTTAAGCAATTAATTAAACAACTATCCCATTCTAGAACTGATTAACAGTTAGATCTAAAATGAAAAGAACTCCAATTTGACTAGTTACAAATCCACTAGCCTAGTTCCAATGTCATGTGAATTTATAACAACAGACAAGTTTTTGTCATTGAGGGATGATTGGTACATATCAGTTGGTAAATATGTATCCGGCATTCGTCCAGAGATGGCTTTAGTTGTTAATGTACTTATCATTAAACTGCATTATTGGCACCAAATCGTTTCTTCTACAGTTAGCAAAAATTTTCAACTCCCAACAATACAAGTTTTATACAGTATCATTTTAATAGAGTTGAACATGTTGAGTTTTGTGCCCACAAACTATGATTTGTGGACAGCATGTTTTCTGTTACCATTCAAAGAAAATTGCTGCAGAATCCGAAGTTTACGGTGAGCATGCTCTTGATAAATCACAGTGCTTTGAGTGGTTTACAAAATTCAAAAGTGACAATTTTGATTAAAGAAATGAAGAACGTGGAAGACCATGGAAAAAATGGTGTGATCTATTATGAGCTGCTAAAACCTGGCAAAGGAACAGTTGATACTGAATGCTAAGGACAACATATGATCGATTTGAATCGAGTATTACGTGAAAAAAAACGACCAGAATATCAAAAAAGACAACACAAAGTGATTTTGTTTTATGATAATGCACCACCACAGACAGAAAAATCAGTGAAGAAAACGATTGCGGCGGTCAGGAGGAAAAATTAGTGCATGCTGCTTACTCACCAGACTTGGCTCCTTACGATTAGTATTTGAGTCAATGAGGAATACACTTCACTTCTTATTAAAATGTAGAAAAATGGCTTCATGACTGGTTGGTACAAAAGAGCAACAGTTTTTCTAATGAGGCATTCATAAATTTCCACAGAGATGAAAAAAATGTACAGCTAGCGATGGTTAATATTTCGAATGAAGTATTTTTAAAGATTTTTATACAATAAACATTTATTTTCTATATACCAATATTCTGGTTTCATATTTACACACCTGTTATGTGTACTTCCAAGTAACCAAAAAACTTTCAGGACCAAACTAGAGTTCAGAGGTTTCTTTTAGTTGTTTTTCTAGATCTAATGCTAATATCCAACTGAATAGAAGTGACAAGAAAAATAAGGTTGATCAATAAACTTTTCAACTACCTACAAGAACTACATATTATTTAAAGGTAAGCTATTAAAAATTAAAGGTATAAAAATTGTTAGTTGTTTTCCATTTTCTTTTTTAAATAAGCAGGTGTGAAAAAAATAGATGTTAGTTTTAGAAGAAAATAAATAAAAAAAACCCTTTTGTTCTAGACATTTAAAATTAAGTATTGTATTATAAGGGAAAAATTGATAACAAACAAAATCTCTGGAGAAATGCTTGTTATCCAGCAGAGTAGGAGCCTGACAAGCATTTGGCTGGTGGTTAACAGTTGCAGAGCTGTTTCGACTTGATCTCGATCGCAATCTGCTTTCCTTAGTTCGTCCACCTGCCAGCAAGTCTGCATGTGAAGTGTAGGAGAGTCGTGAAGCATGTGATGTGTAAGATGAATGCCTTGACATACCAAAGCCACCGCTGTACAGAGGAACCACCATTGCTCCATTCTCCTCTGACATTGGTGTCACTGCATTCGAATCATCCGCATAAGGCAGGTGCTCCTGAACCATCATTCGTCATAAAATACGTAAGCTTTCAGTCCTATTTTTAAATTTTAGTAGATATAATAATACTATAATTTTCTATACAAACTTGATGTTTCTTGTTAGAATTTTTTATTTATATTGACTTCTATAAACACTTAAGTTGATTAAATTTGAGTAATTTGATTAAATTGTTTTTGACATTAATTTAATAACATAAAATACTAGACTAAATAAAAAAAAAAAACTAGAAATATAAATTAAAAAATAATATTTAAGATTATGCTTTGGTTTAAAATACCATGATTTAGTGTTATTAATAAAAAAAAAGTATAGGTATTTTTCTTACTTATTGCTTACTTAGTTTTGTTATACATTCATTATTGTATGTACATTTGTTACATTTTGTTATACATCTATTAATGATATAAAAACTGGGTTAACTGCCCAAAGATTTATTTAATTTCTAATAAAGCTATGAAACTAAACAGATAATAACCTAAAATAATAAATTTCAGTTTTTAAGAATGTTCCTCAAACCTAATGGCAAATAAAATACATCTAAAGTAATACTTTCATAAATTCTAATAAGAAAATGATTCATAGATCATAATTACTACATTAATAATGAATAGATTGAAAAAGAAATTATAAAAGAAATAAAAACAACAGAGAATCATATGGAATTGATTTTTCAAGAGAATAGAAAATAATAAATAGACCGAAAATAGTATCCTATCATCACCCATTTATAAACCTCAAATTAAAGTGGTGCAGCAATCTTCAAACTATGTATACATAAATATATCTAAAACCCTGCTAACACATAAATCAATAATGTAAAGTATTAAATAAAATACTAAGAGGGCTTAAAGCATGCATAATGAATTTGATAAATAAATAAAATATTAGAAATAAATAATTTTGGTGAAGTAAAACTCAAAACAAAGGAAAAATAAAATAAAAATGGGCGATGACAAGTGATGGTCAGTCAAATGTTATTGATATTGCCAATATGTGTTTATAGGCACTAAAGCAAAACATTAGGTGATCAGCAGACCACAAATTAAAAAAAATAAATAAAAATAAAGTGATACAGGAAGAAGCAAATGTACAAATTAAAGCTAATTTAATTTTTTTTTTTTGTTATTTCACTGTTGTTTTTCTTTCATTAAAAACAATTAAACGGGATTTTCATCCGGCCGAAGATGACAAGGGATGGAAATTTATCTAATTTTTTTTTAAAATAAAAGAATAATAATAATAATAAAATAAAATGGTTGAGACCGTAGGGGGGAGGGTACCTGAGCATCAAGATAGGTTGAGAGGACGAGGGGTTTCCTTTCGCCAGCGAACCTTGATCGCCCATTCCGCATTGTAAACTGATGGGAGCCCCGTCTCAGGTTGAATGGGGAGCCTGGCAAACTTAGGCTAGCCTGTAACACCCACATCAAGTGAGATCAACCCGATAATTCGCATTTTTATTAACAGTTTAATTTTATTTATGTTGTACTTAAAATTTTTGCTATCATGGGATTTTGGTTCGGATCGGTATAATAATTTTAAATTACAAGATTTAATTAATTTTAATGACTAATTGTCACATTCAAAAAACTTATTTTTGATTTTTCAAAATATATAACCAAAAATATAAATAAATTTTTGTAATCTGCTAACAATGGAAAATGAATTATTAGTAAAAAACATTATTCATGAAGGCTAATTATCAAGAATTCAGAAGAGAAAAATTTCTTTGAAAAATAAAATAAAAATAAACCAAAAAGCAAAAATTAAAAAAATATAGAAAATAAAACACAAAAAATTAAAGAAAATGGATTGAAGATATTTTATACGATATTGCAAGGTAATACTGATAGAATGACTGTTGAAAAAAATGGTTTAAGAAATAAACAAAAATATTAACTGACTAGACTAAACTTCAGCACAAAATTTCAAAAAATAAAGCAAGGTTAACGATTTTTACTCATTTTGGAATCATTATTTAACATATAGGCAAGGTGCAATAAATAGCCTAGGACACTGAAACACATACAAAGCAGTGATATATTCATATTAACTTAACACATAATTGACATGCACTTAACAAAATAATTATTTATTTTCAATTTATGGTTAATCATTCATAATAACAAATGTAAAACAATGAGTGGGGATGTAAAGTTTAATAAAGGCCCCAGGAAAAGCATTTAAAAGACATGCCACAAGAAAATAAAATCACAGTAAGAATACATTAATCATGAATAACATAATATTGTAATTTACACATCATATTCACTTACTCTCATTATATCTTGTTAAATATGGTCAATATATCTTCTTTTCATACATTATAAATATTACAATACTAAAGCTAGACTGAAAAATAAATTAAACTTTTAAGTCATTTTTCTTTATAAAATAAAATAAAATTAAAAAACAATACTTTGGCGATTTTGAGTCACTGTAAATTCACAAACAACTGAATAGGGTCCCACATAACACATGCAAGGCTTTCAAATAACATGCTCTGTAGGAAAACACATGGATATATTTTAAAAAAAGATCATAAAAAGATGACTTAGTCAAAATACATTCCATCCCCACATTGAAAAGAAAAAGACTGGAGAAGTATAGGGAATCAAGAAGTAAATATTCGGAGTTTTAACCTACCTCCGTTTGATTGTCCTGGCAAGCAAAAGGAAACTGGCTTTTAATTCCGGTTTTTCTCATAGGCAGCTAACCCAGAAAAAACACAAACATACTGCCTAAGAAATATTGGCACTTTGCTGGCAAAAATCTTAAACATTACTTGGGATTCACCAGTTGCTTCTCTTGATGAAATGTGAATAATTAATTCAAATCTGTCTCCCCCTTCCCAACTTTAACATGTCTAAATGTCGGTTTCAATACAAATTAATTTAATAAATAATGAATATTATTTTGAAAAGTGATTAGCTGTGCCAAAATTCAACATATAGCATAAATTGTAAACCAAATGTGCTTGATTTTAACTTTCTAGACAATTAAGCTTAAGTGGAAGCGATTAAAGTGCTGAGATTAAATACCCATGGTCAAGAGTGAAAACAAAAAATTAACCTTAATAGTGCCCAAAAGAAATCAATAAATAATCAAGTGGATGCTAAATTGAATCCTAAATGTTAGATTACATATATGCTGGATTGTCACAATGACTAATTTCAGAGATCTATAATTCAATAATATTATTTATGCTACAATTGAAAATGTTGAATACTGCTTCATTAACATTAGCAAATGCGATTTATTTAACTCTAAAACTTTGTCATGAGTAATTATCTAAATGAATTTAATAATCTATATATGACTAATTGAAAAAAATCAGAATTGATACGTCAAGAAATTAATTATTTGTGCATTAAGAATTTACAATGCCCATATAATAGAAAAAAAAAGAATAACCAAAAAATTCAGCAAAAAAAATGAAACTAATGTTTACTAAAAAAGAACACATAGATCAAAAGACTCAGCATTGTATATAATTGGAAATACATGAAATATGTTGAATGCCTCTATCAAATCAAGAGTTCTAAAAGGAGTTTTAATAACTAAAAAAACAAATCGATTAATTAAATATTCAAAACTAGGAGTGTCAAACTTGAAACAAACTGTTAAACAGCTCCTAGGGTAATTTTTTATGGCACACAGTGCACTGAAATAATTCAGAATTTGAACTTGAAGCTCTTCCTAATAATGACAGAAGTTTGTTAGTTGTTCTACTGCAAAGCACTGCAGAGCTCCTAATTGCTTAGCGAGAAAATAATTGTGCTTCGTGAAATGAAAAATGAAAAAAACAGAAAATAAAATGAGGATGACAAATTATCAGGATATGCAGTCCTTAGATTGTTTGTTAGACTTGCCAGCATTTTGACCCAAATATTATTAGGTCTAAAAATTAAAAAAATACATAAGAAAAGTGAGATATAAATAGAAGTAAGTAAATAGGACAAGATGAAAGATGGAAAGTACACATGAGATAATGGTAATATAAATATAATTTTTTTTAAAAATAAATAAGTAATAATATTATATAAATAATAACTTGTGTATAAATGATGAATGGCATCGGGAAGTTCCCCTCCATCACCCAGTTGTCAGACTGCAATCAGCCACTGGCCCTCCAGTATGAAGGACATCTATACTGAAACTCACCGAGTACAGCACACTATACTCACCCAAACACTACACAATAAGGTCACCTACAGTGCACACCCTGGGGTCACCTCTCCTCGATAACCGCACCCGGAAGGGGAAGCTAATCAGGGAGCTCTAAGTAGGCAGCCCCACTACCTAAATCGGAAGCAGTAGGCTAATACCCTGCTCTCCTTAAACAACCTCATCAAAAAAGCTGAACAACGATCTGCTGGACTGATCATTGGAAAATGACACAGAAACTGTCAAATGGACTACAATTTAGCTACTTGGAACATTTTATCATTAAATAGACCTAGGGCACTTCAAATCCTCCCGGACACCCTAAACGATTACTCAATAGACTTTTTTTGGGTCCTCCCCTTCCTTACCGAGGTCTCTAATGAGAAAGAATAAAGATATTTTTTATGAGAGAGATATTCTTAAGAGAGATATAAAGAGCTGGAGAGATGTTATGACTAGTGTCCCAGCTATGACATGAAAATTGTGATAGGCGACTACAATGCCCAAATAGGAAAGGAATATACAAGCCCACTATCAGTCAATATAACCTGTATTACAGATCAAATGATAATGAGGAGCGGCTGATAAATTTTGCGGCTTCCAAGAGTCTGTTGATTGGAAGCATATGCTTTCCTTACAAAGAGATCCACCCAGGAACTTGGTGCAAACATGGTCCCAACGGGTGAGTCATGACATCCCAAATTGACCATGTGCTTATGAGCATAAGGCATAGGTCTTCACTTCTTGACGTTAGAACCTACATGGAGAATGCCAATGTAGAGCATTTCATGGCTGTGGCAAAAATCAGAGTCTAAGCATCGATCGCCAGAATTAGGCATATAATTATGGCTAAACGATTCGACACATCCAAGCAAAAGGATGCTAAACATTGTGCAGAGTTTTCTCAAAACTTAGGCAGAAATTAGAAGGAATTAACCCTAAAGAGGATGTTGATAAAAAGTGGAATCATTGCCATAAAGCTCTGGCAACAACCGCATTAGAAGTGCTGGACACAGAAGCAAATTTGAGGCACCACCGGTGGTTTGATGAGGAGTGTAAAATTGTGAGCAACAGGAATAACAAAGCCTACAAAAGAATGATACAGGGCCGATGAACAAGAAGATCTATGAAGAAGTACTGAGCTCTGGGAGGTCAGGAAGTCCACCTTCGAAAGAGAAAGAAAAGGCAATGGGAGAATGGTTGCTGGAAGGCATAGAAAAGTTCTATTAAGAAAACAACTGCTGAAAATTTTTTCAACATGTCAATCAGACTCAGAGCTATTGCCTGCATAGCGGAGGATGGATCCCTGATCGCTGACAGGCAAGAGATATTGGATAGGTGGGCAGATTACTTTAGAGGTTTGCTCAATACAGGTAATACTGAAGAGGACGTCAGATGGCCTGCCATGGATGAAGGACAGGAAACAGATAATTTGGATCCCCCAGAAGAAGAGGAAATTCAAGAGGCTCTTATCAAACTTAAGAACAATAAAGCACCCGGTATTGACAATATCCCAGCAGAGCTGCTGAAGCATGGCGGACACGAACTGGTGCAGTTTCTTCGGGACCTACTGCACGATATCTGGACTGAGGAGATGTTACTTGTGAAATGAAAGAAGACAGTAATTTGCCTGATTCACAAGAAACTAGATACTCTGTCTTGTAATAATTACGAGAGAATATCCTTACTTCCTTCTGCTTACAAGATTTTGTCTATTATCTTGTTCAACCGGTTGCTTCCATATGCTGAGAGGGAGATGGGAAAATATCAAAGCGGTTTTCGAAGAGGTGGGTCAACAAGTGACCAAATTTTCACACTCCGAATACTGTTGGAGAAGACCCGCGAGTACAAAATAACAACAAACCACATATTTGTAGATTTCCAGCATGCCTATGATTCGATCAACACGGCAGAGGTTTACAGAGCAATGCTCGCAATGAATCTTTCTCCAAAGTTAGTGTGCCTGACAAGAATGACCATAGAGGACAACATATCTTTTGTCCAGGTTGGGGTGAGCTCTCAAGGGGCTTCTCTACTGGAACAGGAGTTCGGCATGGAGATGGCTTGACATGTCTGGTTTTCAATCTCACTTTGGAAAAGGCAGTTGGAGACTCAGGAATCCAGACAATTGGTACACTCATCAACTTCCAAGTGCAGTTCCTTGGATTTGCTGATGACATTGACATTGCTGGCAGGTCACTAGCAGCCTTCAAGGAAGCATTCATAGCATTGAAAAAGACTGCTACAAGTATGAGACTGATTGTCAACTATAACAAAATAAAGTGTATGTGCGCAAACCCTCAACTGATGATCGTTGAGAACCATATCCAAGTTGATGGGAAGAGTGTGGAGAGAGTTGAGGAATTTGTGTACCTGGGGTCCCTAGTCAACCAAAATGATATTGGAACAGAAGTCGAGAAGCCGATTATGGCAGCTAATCACTGTTATTTTGCTCTACAAAAGCATATGAGTGGTAGTCTCCTCTCCAAATCATCGAAAGTCAGGCTGTGCAAGACTCTCATTCGGCCAGTTCCCACATATGTTTCAGAAAACTGGACCCTTATCTAAGCACACAAATTCTCTTTTCTGAGATTGGAAAGAAAAGTCCTGAGGAAAATATATGGTCCAGTTATAGTTAATGGAGAGTGGAGACATCGTTCCAACAATGAACTGAGGCTGCTTTATATGGAATTGGATGTAGTACGGTTTATAAAGCTAATAAGACTTAGGTGGGCTAGATATGTGATTAGGATGGAGCAAGACGACATCCCAGTAAAAATCCTAAGTAAGCGAATCTTTGGTGTGAGAAGAGCAGGCCGGCTATGACTTCGGTGGGAGGATTGCATAGCTTCAGAAGCCTGGACCATATTCGATATCCGCAGTTTCATTCTAGTATTCGCTGATGAACAAAACTCGTGGATATCAAACCCGTATATGTTGAGGGATTACTGAATTTCCGAAAACGCCTTCTCTCAGATATTTAATTTTCATACAAAAAAAATAAAGACCTTGTAATATAGATATTTTTTAGCCAATGCAAATGGTGAGGAAGCTATACTGACCTTACTTAGCAGACGTTTTTTTCAAGATTGCGGATAACAATATATATTTGTAGCACAATGTCCAAGCCAAAATCTTAAAAATGGAATTGATTCCGTTTTGATTTGGCAACTTTCCAAATCATCTGAGTTTTCATTCCCTCCAATTTTTTCCAAAGATTTTTAGTGTAGTTGCAGTAAGGTTCTATGTTTTGAAATTGGAATTTTGTCACTTCTACAAGAAATTTCTTTTTGTTTAATACCTCATTCATCAAAATATATTGCTCCTGAGAGTTGAAAAAGGGATTTATGCTATCCTATTGGTCGTCTAATCAGGTGATTAGACGTGATTTTTTTTTTACGATGAGACAATAAATAGAAGTACCAGACAATGACTACTTGCTTTACAATAATGAAAAATCGATAAAAAATTATCAAAGCAGTTGAAACCCCAATGAAGCAGCATTCACAACAATCTATGAAGTAACAGAAACCAAAAAGTGGTTATATTATAATAAAAAATATTAAATTTATGGAGAATAAGAAAAACATTTGTTCATAGGTATTTAAAAACATTAAATTTTTTAAAATTTTAATGTTTTTAAAATTAAAAAAGAATAAATGCAACATTCCAGCAAATATGTTTAGATCAAACCACCTAATACATAATTAAGAGAAACGTACCACACTGACTTTCCTTCCTCTGCTTCCTGCAGTGTTAGGACGCCCATGGCTTAAAGATTCAGATCGTATCGACATCTTCTCTCTGTTGTTGTCGTCAATATTGCCCTTTTCTTGTCCAATGAAAAGTTCATAGGAATGAGCTGAAAAGTCCGAAGGGGATTTGATGACACTACCAGCTTCTAGAGCTGCTTCGGCTGCAGCTTCCCTTTCAGCTGTTCTAGCAGCACGTGCTTCCCGCTTTTTTTCTTTTGCTTGTGCTGCTAATTCAGCTTCCTGAAAAATTAAAGTTTATATAGAAATAATCTTGATCTGTAATTGTAATAAATGTCTGTAATACATCACACAATCATGAATGGATATTTAAAAAAATCGCTCCCTTTACAGCGTAATTGAACATTTTATCGATTATAGTATTATTCGATTATCTATTATAGACTGTTCATTAAATTTCAGAACCAAAATCGATTTTATAGTTCATTAAAAAAGTATACACTCATCTGAATTACTTTTACTTTCACTTTTTTTTCCTCCCATTCCTCGCCTTTTAGGCTATATAGGAGTTTTCCAGGCCAAGGGGTGAGGGCGGGAGATTAATGCCAGAGTTAAAAAGCTCCTCCCCTCCCCAGCACTAGGATGCAAACTTGTAATTAGTTTATCATCTATAACTTTGATTATCAGGTTGCCAAGCAATGCACAGTGCTGTACATACTCATTAGCCCGCTCGGCCACCATGACCCCCCTTTTACATTCACTTACTTTTATATGAAATAGTAAGGTAAAGCATTGTGATTTGAATTTGAGTTTTCAACTGAAATATATGTTTTAAGGTACCCTGAATCCAAATAACCAAGTCCCGCAAACTAGTCTGCATTTGTGTGTGTGTAAACAATATAGCTTAAAAACAAAAAAACTTACAACACTGATATTATGTATTTAAGGTAGGCATATATCTGGGATGTCACAGCTACTTTTTTGCTAAAATTAACTTACTTTGTATGACCAATTTTACTCATTTTTACAATTTTCTCAAAAAAAGCTTTGATGATTTTGACTAAACACATTATGATGATGTAAAATTAAATGGCTTATAATATTAATTAGATCTTATCCTCATTAAAATAGTATGATGGATCATAAATGCCAAATTATCATTCTCTACAGTAACAAACTTGATTGCTAGAAGTAACTAAGTCTCTGTATGTCCTACAAAATGAAAAAGAGATAAATATGAACTATGAAAGAATTACATAATTAACTTAGGATGATAATGTGAGAAATATTTTCATAGTTTGGACAAATTTCATGAAATAAGATTAGTGATATAACTGAATAATATACCATTGGAAAGCTGAAGATTTTAGTGAAATTAATGTCAGATGTATAAAGTCATAAAAGGTAATAGAGAGCGGCGAATTTGACTATTAATTGTTTTCAGTATGGGGACTTGGATTCAGAAGTAGAGGGGCAATTCCTCTTTTAATTGATAGTTGTTGTTTTTTAAAAGCTAGATGTTGAAAGAAATGAGATACAGAGTATGGCAGAATCTATTATCCTGAACTCACTGAGAATCCTTGATCATCATTTTGCCATCAAGAATCGTATGCCAGCAAAAAGTCATTAGCATGGCCCTCACATAGTTGAATCACACTACTTAAATTAACTGGACATGTAAGGAAGTCAACTTTCCATATTTAAAAATTGGGATAAGATGGGTCAGTTCTTACAAAGTACTGAATCCAAGACCCTTCAAGATTTAAAGTTGTATAATTTTTTTTAGTAGGTAAGATGACTAAATACATGATCTATTTACATTAAAAGAGTAATCAATTTTTAACAAATAAAATCAAGAAGTAATTTTAGAGTTGAAAGAATTTTGATACTTTCAAAATATTATTGCCTACACTGTAAAAGATTGAGAATTCAACTGCACATACGTATTTAGTAAAGGTGATGTAAAACTAACATTTTCTAAAAATAATTCTTTATTATTATTGATTGATTTTGAAAGATAATTATATCAAAAACTGTTTTTACCCTTAAAGCCTCTTCTTCTGCCTGTTCTTCTTCTTCAGCTTTTTTCTGGAGCTCATCGTATGACATAGCTACAATAGCTAAAATGAGATTCACCAAATAAAATGACCCAAGAAAGATAATTACTATGAAGAACAGCATGTGCCACGGACCAGCCGAGCGCAGAATCTAAAAAATAATATATATTATCTTGTATGTATATATTTACGCATAATAATATAATTGATGCAACATATATTTATTTCAATTTACAAGCTACAATATGTAAAATCAGATTTTAAAAATTCAAGCATAAATGCATACATTTTTTTCAATGATACAAAGAAACAAAAATTTCTTATAATTGTTTTTAGCAATTTCATTTAAAAAAGAAAAAAAAACTGATAAAGAATTCTATGAAACATTTTATAACAGAAAACACATTATAATTTCTATTTTTAAATATTATTCATAATTAGTTATATTATAAAGATTTTTATTTTCAAAGAAATCAAAATTGATCATGGCAGGATCGCCAATGTGTATAAAGTTTCATTCTTTTTGAAAATTAAAATTTATATTGATAATATACATGTTGATAGTTGACAGTAACATAATTCAAGATGGAGGTGGTTCTGGAGTCTTATAAAAAAAAACATCAAATAATTAATGATTATGTATTTTACATAAAAAATCAAATAATTGTTAATTATTTATTAATTAGCAGTTATTTATTGTTTTTTCATCCAACTCTCGGACCATCTTTTTCTTATATTTATATTTGTTAAAATCATAAATCTTTTTATTTTTTGAGGTTTGCAAATAAAATAAAAATACAAATAGTTTATTCAAATAAAACACTAATTTATTTTAAATAAAAAGAGGGCGGATTAATTTAATATTTGTGTGGTGTTCATAATAACAAATAATTTTATTATAAAGATAAGTTTTCGAGCACAACTATCAGAGCCCTTCAAATACAATATTGCCATTGCACCTTACTGAAATATCATATTTTGCTGACTTTAGGGTAAAATGCTACATTTTACTGAATTTAGGAGAAAATGCTGTATCTGTGCTATATTGTGGCTCATTTTTGATAAACTTCATAAGTCAAGTAAAAAAAACCTAATAAGTCTAGAAATGTATTGCAACCAGAAATCAGATTAAAAGCCCATGATGCCCACAGGCACAGAGGAGCTGAAAAATAAGAAAAGATGGGTTAGGCCTGTTATGAGGTAGTGCCCACCACTAGTGGCTGAAGTTATAACTTCTAAAATAACATCAACTGTAAAATGAACATACTTCTTGTCTATATCCTTTCATACTTGAAGTTTTGCTATTAGTTAAAGTTTTCATTTCAAATTCAGTAGGTCTAAAGTTGCTACCTCAAACTATCTCGACAACAAGAAATGGATTGATGCAGACAGTAATTTCACAAAAGAGGAGGATATTCTGCGAGTTGTGTACGAAAACACTGCTCTTCAGGAATTGTAGAAGAAAGGAGATGATACATTTTGCTAATCTGGGAGGGATGGAAGCCTCCATGAAGGAAGAATGGGAACCTACAGATGTCCTCCCCAAAAAGTATAGACTGGCAACATCAGCTGAGGTGGAGAGGACATTTCCAAAACTAAAATATTTTTTAACCAACCAATACAAAGTGTGGCCGATTACAAATCAAGCAAGAGAAAGGTCCAAATTGAAGTTCAAGATTGTGAAGGGGAACATGATTGTACCATTAGAAAGGATGTTAATCGCCCATTATCACCCGTTTAAAAGCAGTGATAATAATTGTGTTTCAGAATGAAAACTTTTATTTTTTGGAACATGAATTAACTGAAGGTATTGAGGGCAAGAAATTATGGTATTAACAAACACTCTGAGATGAAAGAAATGCACTTGATTGAGCATATAAATTAAAAATTTGATTTGGAGACAATTAGTCAATGTTTTGAGAGAAAATTTAGACACTTCATAGCATAGCTTTTTTGATCACCCTAAAACAATAGATTCTTAGCAATAAGGCACTGAAAATATGACATTTAAACTTTATTTAAATATGTGTGTATGTGTGTATTCATATATTTAACTATATGAAAAAAAAAATATGAAAGAAGAGTTGGATATGAATATTATGATAATACCAGAAAATGAAATCAATGATCTCTGTTTAAGTAATGCTATATATGGTTTTTAAAATTTTCATGAAATAGAAAAACGTATTGGTTTTAGACAGGAGATTGTTTACAAATTATTCAATAACACTTTTTAATAATAAAAGATTAGTCTGGATGAGACCAATCACGAGGTAAAGTGTATGTTAGTGATGAAGTTTTAGTGTGTGAAGTGGATGCTAGCTGGGGTGATGTGGACAACAAGAAATCCTAAATTATGGGATACATAATTACAATTTTTGGAATCCTGTGAAAAACAAGAAACCAAATGACAGTGGCTTTGTCATCTGCTGAAGCAAATTACATAGATTCGTATGAAGAAACCAGAGACCTACTGTGAATTGAGGATGTTTGGTAAAAATAAACCAATGTCGATAAGGTGAAAATTCTTGAATACAATACCAGCTCGATTAGGTTCGCAACAAGCAATTGCAACTGAAGACGGAACAAGCATTTTGATGTCAAATGGCACTATGTGAAAGAGAAGAAAGGGAATGGGACTATGAAACTTGCTCATGTTGATTCACAAAAGCAGACTGCAGATATTTTGACTGTCTTATTGGTCGAAGTAAAGTTCCAAGGTGAGGTAAAACAAGATAATGTTCCAAAAGAACGTACCAGGCCAAAAGTGTTTAAACTCTGAAACAATGGCAAAGGGTCGCCCACTATAGATAGTCTGCAGATGCCACAGTTGCCATGGCATACTTATTATATGTTATTTTAAAAAAGTTTTATATTTTTCTCTATTTCGCTAACCATTACTACTACATAGTAACATAACTAATTAAAAATTAGTTAAATATTACCTTGTTCAGTAATGTTTACTATGATTAAATTTACGGCCGTTTAAAGTTAATTATAAAATACATAACGAGCAATATTTTATTTATGTAAATTTAACATCTTGGCTTGCTGTTTATGACAGTTTTTATATAATTCTAGATGCTTTAGAAAACTTGGATCTATTCTCATTTATTTTTTAAATAGATTGTTAGCTTGCTATATTCTAAAATAAATACCAGTGTTTTTAAAAACCTGAACAAAACGTGATAAGTATCCCATGGCATAGAGGAGGCTTTCAGAATAAATAATACTTTACCTCGAAAAGATAACATTTTTGGGCATTAAAAAGCAGAGCCCAGTAAACCCGGGTTGAAATCTTTAAAATGAAATTTTTCCCGTTCCATCCATTGACTTACAATGTTGGAGTTTTCAAAACACCTAATTTTTTCAATGATCATTATTAAAGTTGCAGCAGAAATTTAAGGATAAAATTATGATTTGTTACTTCTTCATCAAATTCCCTTACATTTGATATATTATTCATCAAAATCGCTCCTGAGAGCTAGAAATTGGATATGTATTAGCATATTATAGAGGGTGTCCCATAAGTAGAGGGAAAATTTTATAGGAGTGATAGATCTTGAGAGCTACAAAAAAGTTCACATACACAATGGGCCAATTTTCAGCAGAAAAGTAGGAAATCCAAATTTTGTGGTTTTAAGTGAGTAAAAGCAATAACTAAAGAAATATTTAATTTAAGTAATTAATAATTGCTTCATTGTAAATAAGATGAAATTTACTTTAAATTATAGAGTTAATCATTGCTAAAACCATTTACAGAGGACTTTTGAGCGGCTAAACTAAGCTAAGTTCTGTTTTTAGAAAAATCATAAATTGTTCGCTTTTTTTTTTTTTTATCGTTATCCAACTATACTATTGGGTTTATTAAAATACAACCCAGGTCATGGAAAAACAAGAAATAAAGCTTTGCACCAATTATTGGTAGTATTATTTTCTGAAAACTCTGGTACTTTTACATGAAAGGACAAAAATAATATCATTTTTTTTTTTTACAAAACTTGAGCTGCATCTCTAATTTTTCCCTAATAAACCTCAATTTAATTGATACGATCTTAAAACTTTTAAATGAAGAAGTTTTTGAAAAAGTGTGGAAACTGTAATATAGTTGGACGATGATAACAAATAAATGGCGAATAATTTTTGATTTTTCTAAAAACAAAACTTAGCTTAGTTTAGCCGCTCAAAAGTCCTCTGTAAATGGTTTTAACAGTGATAAACTCTATTTTCATTTAAAGTAAAGTTCATCTTGTTTGCAATGAAACAATTGTTAATTACATAAATTAAATATTTCTTTAGTTATTGCTTTTGATTCAATAAAAAACATACTAACTTAAAAAAAAAACACAAAACTTGGATTTGCTAATTTTCTGCTGAAAATTGGCCCATTGTATATATGAACTTTTTTGTTGCTTTTGAGATCTGCTATCACTCTTATAAAAATTTCCCACTACTTCCGGGACACCCTGTATATACTGGAGCCATATAATAAATAAATTTCTAGCTGATCTAATAAAGTACTAATTATCACTTACCAACTGATACAAGTTCTCCCAGTAATCTTGGGTCATAAGCCTAAATGCAGAAAGAAGTGCCCAACCAAAGGTATCAAAACTTGTGTATCCATAGTTTGGATTTGGTCCAAAACCTTGCATGCATGTATATCCAGGTCTACACTGACTGTTAACACAAATGGTGGATTATAATTAAATTAGACAAGAAAAATTAACAAGAGGTATGTTAAAAAGAAAAAAAATATATTTGAATAGAGTTATGTTTAAAATAAACATTAGCATGTTTATTATGTTTAAAAAGCATTAGAAAAATAGCAGATTAAAACTCTATGTAACATTGTGTTTCATTGGTAACAATCATTAATAAATTATTAAACTTAGTAGTTGTTGTTCTTCTTCAAAACTGCCCATAAAATGTAATATTATATTATGTATAATATAGAAACATACAGGGTGTCCTGTAAGTAGAGGGAAATTTTTATAGGACAGATAGTAGACATCACCTACAGTGCAAAGAATTGTGTTTTTTTAAGCGTCACAGTTTTTGTTGAATAGGAAGCGATAACTCAAAAAATATTTAACTAACTAACTCCATGGCGGTACAGACCGGTATGGTCCTTGGCCGCCTCAATGAGCCCTCACCAAATGGCTATATCTTGCAGAGTCGCTCGCCAGTTGCGGATATGCAATAATTCTCTGGTGTCCCGGAATACGACGTCCTCCCGTCTTAGACGTGGTCTGCCTTTCCCTCTTGTCCTGCAGAGCATTCCATCAAGCAACTTCCTTTGGACTTCCTCTTCTGGTATTCTGGCCACACGGCCAGCCCAACGTAGTCGCCCAAGCTTGATGCACCTCAACACATCTGGCTCCCCATACAGATCATATAGGTCCCTGTTAGTCCTCCTTCTCCAATCATCACCGACCTTAACAGGTCCAAAGATACGCTGAAGGATCTTACTTTCAAACATTAGTAAATCTTTTTCTTCTTTGCTAGAGAGGGTCCAGGTTTCCAATCCATATGTGAGAACAGGCCTAATGAGGGTCTTATATAAGAGGCATTTTGTATGACGGGAGATGGCAGAGCTTCCAAGGTGTTGGCTGAGGCCAAAATAGCACCTGTTTGCCCTTATTATTCGCTGGTTGACCTCCAGGGATATTCTATTTCAACAGCTTACAATAGTTCTCAGATAGATAAACTGGTCAACATTGTGGAACGTAAATGGGCCCATAACCACTGATGGTGAAGATATAACAACTGTGGTCTCGGTTTCAGGTCCTGCTCGAATATACATCGTCTTTTCCTGGTTTATACTCATTCCCGAAGCTTCTGCCGCTTCAGCCAACCTTAAAAATGCACTTTTGAGAGACTCGAGGGAACATGCCATCAGATCTAGATCATCAGCAAATCCCAGTATTTGAGTTAATCTGTTAAAGATGGTATCGGTAGTCTGGATCCCCAAGTCACATATCACCTTCTCCAGGGACAAGTTAAACAATTGGCAGGCAAGTCCATCCCCTGCCTACTTCCTCGCATAGAAACAAATTGAGATGACAGGATTTGTGTTTTTTTAAGCAAGTCACGTTTTTTGTTGTATAGGAAGCGATAACTCAAAAATATTTGATTTGAGTAATTAAACATTGCTCCATAGTAAACTAGAAAAAAATTTACTTTAAATGAAAGTAGAGTTTGTAATTGTTATAACTATTTAAAGAGGACTATTGAGTGGACAAACACAGCTAAGTCCTGTTAAAAAAAACTCATAAATTATTTGTAAATTTTTTTTTATTATTAGTTATGTACAGAAATGGTGTGATGTTAGTTCTTATTTTTCTGTGATATGGGGTGTATAGTAATAATAATTGCCTAAAACACATTTTATTTATAAACATAAAATTGTTTAAATAACGACTTTTCAAGTAAGGAGGTCATGAAATTGTATTTTTCACACAGATATGTATTATAGGAATTGATGTGTATTTAAAAGTGACAAAAAAAAAAAAAAAAAAAAATGTTTCTAGCCCTACTATTTACATTTTCATGAAAATAATTGAAGTAACCAGTAGGTTTCTTAATTTTAATCATAAATTTTAGTAAGAAACATTAAGTTTTTCACTGGTAAGTACATTATTAATTCCTATGATGGAGATCTTGGAGAAAAGCACAGTTTTATACCCATTTACTTGAAAAATCATTATTTTTAAATTATTTATTTTTATAAATAAAATGTATCTTTAGGCAAATAGCTTTATATCATCTAAACTATTTGTATACCACACCCCTTATCATGGAAAAACAAGAAATAAAAGCTTTGCAACAGTTAATTTTGTCATTTTTGCAGAAAACACAGGTACTTTTAGGTGACTGGATAGAAAATAATTTCTTTATAAAACTTGAAGTGAATCTCAAAATTTTTCCTAATGAACTTCAGCTTGATTTATATAGACTTAAAGATTATTAAAGGAGGAAGTTTTTCTAAAAGTTGAGTAATTGTAGGACAGTTAAAGGGTAATAAAAAAAAAAAATTACAAACAATTTTTTTTTTTAAACAGAACTTTTGTCCGTTTTTAACGTTTGTTCTTTTTAAATAGTTATAACAATGGCAAACTGTACTTCCTTTTGTTTAAAGCAAATTTTGTTTAATTTACTATGGAGCAATGTTTAATTACTTAAATCAAATATTTTTTGAGTTATAAATTCCTATACAACAAAAAACGTGACTTGCTTAAAAAAACACAAATCTTAAATTATTCTACTTTTCTGATGGAATTTGGGCAATTGTTTATAATAACTTTTTGAAGATCTTGATGTCTACTATCTCTCCTATAAAAATTTCCTCCTACTTACGGGACACCTAGTATATGATGGTTAACTAGACAGATGAGATACAAATTTTATAGTTTGAAGTAAAAAAATATTTAAGATTTTAACTACATCCTATAATTCCTTAATATCAATAACCAAGTGTTCCTCATATTGAGGCATGCCAAAACTGTACTTCCTCACTCCCTTATACCCAGCTAACTTCACAATAATTATTTCTTTGTAGCAGGGATTCTTGTTAAAAAAAAAAAAAATTGAGAATATACCTATATAATGAAAACAGTTAAAAACTATTATTTATACAAGAAAATGTATTTATTGCGGTAGTAGGTTTGTTACCTATATTAAACACATTGAATCTAAAATACTCATAAATGAAAAGATTATTTGTTTATACTTACCCAGCACCAGATGAATTTCCACACAATGGATAAACATCATCTTCTCCACTCCAATTTGCTGAAAAATTGACAAAATCTTTTAAAGAAGTAATAATATTTTTTAAAAAGAAAACAATAATGGCTTTAAATCATTATATACATATAAATTTACTTATATAGGAGGTTGGGATGGTGTACCGGGCTAGGGCACTTTCATAATCAAGGCAATCAAAGTTAAAATTAGGATAAGTACTCCAATTGAGTACTTATCCATTACTCCAATAACTGCCTGAATTGAGTGACCCAAGTTGCCTGATATCTCCCTTTTCCCCCCAGGTATAGCAGACCTGTCAGTCTACTGGAGGCAACTAATATCGACAGGGAATAGGACTGATGTCCCTACCCTGTGTACTTTAATTGGGATGACAGTGTTGAAAAGAGGTTTTTCAGAATGACAGTAGCCTCCAAGAAGTTTAGTATATGGATGGTCAGTTTCAGGAAAATAAATGTAGTTCCTCCGTCATGCTCTTGCTGACTCTGAGCAAACATAAGCCATGGGCCAAGACCAATTTGTACCATAAAAACCAGGTTCATAGCCACACGTGTTTAAGTGACCCTCTCCAAGCAATCTGTGCTCCTGCAAGCAGTATACGTCGGCCAGAGAACCATATCACATGGCTAAAGATCTATGAGATCTATGTTTCCAACAGAAACCAATCGCTCACTGACTTAGTGATAACTGTATCTCAAATATGAAAATGGTTATGAAGCTGAAATTTTGAATGTTTAGTTGGGGAAAGTAAGGCGAGATATGCACTAAGGATGGTTTTGAAAAAAATTTACCGTAAGTGATTTTTTTATTCTAAATATAAAAAGTGTTTTTGAATAATTTGAAAACTATATTCCTCCTAGAAAATTATAGTTACCTCAATTCAAACATAATTAAATTCCCAAGGCATGTACAGAAAGCAAGAGTACAATTGGGATCTTGCACTGTAGGAATTTTTTTGCTTCAAAAATTGCTCGCACTGAGTTGTAATCGGGATTCTCCTAAAAACAATGGGCACCAGTGACATGTGTTGGTACCAAAACTCGCCTCATAGTGCCCATTTCTGAGAAATATCAATATGAAATCTTGCCAAGTGTTAAGTGCAAGCTGATTTTTTGAAACCTATGACTGATGATGAAATGGGGTCTATAACATGGGTGGCTTATTACATTGCTGAGACGAAAATACAGTCATCACAATGGCAGCACTCTGGCACTCCCTCCATTTTCCAAAAAAGCAAAGATCTCAATTTTTTGGCAAAAAAAATCATCATGGTTTCTTTGTTTTGGTACTGAAAAGGAACCATTATGATGGAATTTTACCTCAGGGGGAGAAGATTAATTAGCATGAACTGTAGAGCCCTACAAAACCTTAAGAAAATAGTTTTAAAAAACACAGGGGAATGTTGACAAAGAGAGAGTGTAAAAGTCATGATGGACGAGTGTTGCAGCATTGCCCGTTTTAGCATTCTCATGCCTAGGGATGCCAGTTCGAATACGGCCTGGAAATATTTGACTTTTATTTCATGGTGGTTCCATGCAATGGATCTAGGGTTAAGTTAGGTTGTACTTATAAGAAAAACCCTCCCTCCTCCCCTCCAGTAAGCCAGAAATGGTGAATAGGTAATACAATAAAAAAAATTAATAAAAAAAGCGTGTGTTTGATATACGATGATGCTCACCCCCACTCGACTAACTCCATTAAGGCACTTTTGAACTCATTTTTTTCACCTTCCTCAAGATTCAAATATGTGGGAAGAAATTTCCAACAGATGAGGAGGCGAAATAAGTGGTCTTGAAATGGACGAAGGAGATAGTGGGGGAGTTCTACGAGGAAGGCATCAAAAGGCTTGTGCCATTGATTAAAAATTGCATAGGATGAGAAGACTATGAAAAAAAGAAATAGCATATATATCAAATAATTTTTTTTTGTAAAATAGAAAAATTGAGTAGTCTTAATTTCTGAACATGCCTCGTAATCCAAATTGGAGGAGTATCAGAAAAGATACAGCTTATTTTACTTTGTACCTGTGGTTTATTTAAATTTTTCCATAGAACTAATTGTTTATTAGTTCCCATAACTAATTGTTAATTAATTCCCATAACCAATTGTTAATTAATTTCCATAACTAGTTAATTAAATTGTTATACAGATGGCTCTCTAACAGCCTATGGCTCAGGAGCAGCCTTTTATCATAAAAGGAACCAAGAAAAAGACTCAATATCTCTTGGTAAATACGCTTCGGTATTTCAATCGGAGATACTAGCAATTTGCCATTGTGCACAAAACCTACTGCGAAGCAAAGTGATTGGAAAAAGATTATAATCTATACTGATAGTCAGGCAGCAATAGGTGCTCTAAATAATTATTATGTATACTCAAAGGTTGTTAAAGAATAAAGAATAGTACTTAATAATCTGACTGAGCTTAATAGAGTTGCAATAGAGTGAAAGCCTGGTCACTCGGGCATTCTAGGCAACAAAGAAGTAGACAAATTAGCCAGATTAGGCTCAGATACTATTCCCATAACTCCCATAACCTGTCTGTGGAATCAGTCTTAGTAATGCCAAAAGTAGGATTAGGGAGATACATGATAACAAATTTAAACAACACTGGACTGAGAAGAAACAACAACATTCAAAGCTGTTCCTTAAAGGTCCATGTGATAAAAAAATTAAACTGCTACTGAGTTTGGGCAGAGCAGCTCTTAAAAAGCTTACAGCGATCTAAACAGGCCACTACAAGTTAAATTATCACATGTTCAATCTCCGAGTGACGACAAACCCGCTATGCAGATTCTGTCAGGAGGAGGGGAATGAAACAGCCTTTTACATCGTCTGTCAATGTGATAGATTTGCAAGGCTTAGACTGGAGCTATTTGGGGAAGAACGGATGCATCACCCCAGTAACTATGAGATTGTCAACCCAACAAGCCTATTAAGATATGCCGAAGCGACAAAAATAAAACAATTAAGAATAAAACAAACTGCATAATGGAGTACAATAGATCCATTAAGGGTCGTAGTGCTTTAAGCCAATTAATAAAAAAAAAAAAAAATTACTATAAAATTTGGGCAAATTGTATCCTAAACTTCTCTTTGGGCATAGGGATCATTACAGCTTGAGATTATTCTTTATTTTAATAAATTATAAATAATAACAGAGCCACGATATGCTATTAGTTTAATGCAATACTCACATGAATTGCTACAATGTTTAAACCAATTTTCATCAGTTAGGTTGCCTGCAGATCCATCTTCAGGAAAATTCCTAATACATTTCTGTGTAAGAACTCCCATATAGATTTGAAGACCCATTAAAGCAAAAACTGACAGGGAAAACATTGTAAGAATTATTACATCTCTCAGATTTTTCACAGACTCAATGACAGCACCAACAATAGTTTTTAAACCTTAAACAAACAAACAAATTTAAAGCAATAAATAATTAACTCAATTTATTGCAAGTAGTTATTCAAATATTATATTTTTTATATTACCAGGCACAATGGCAACAGTTTTGAGGGCTCTTAGTACCCTAAATGTCCTTAAGGCGGCAAGGTTTCCAAGATCTATTCCCATTGTAACATAGCTGTAAAAATTATACGTTGAACATCTAAAATCTATTTTAGCATTCATCGCCTATCCTATATACTATAAAGTACAGTATTTCTATAAATTAATTAAAATAAAAACTATTATTATCACTTATTAATTCTTTACTAAGTTATTAAACTATTCATAAATATAATATGCTAATTGCAGAAAATATTTGTTGGTATTTAATACCATCATTAAAATTGAATATTTGTAGAAAAAAAGTTTGATCCAACATATTTACACATAGCATAAACAACCATATACACAACATAAAGTACTATCTATTGGAATTTAATAAAACAATGTCACTAAATGTTTTGATCTAAACTTGGCTACAGCAATTTCTTATTGTACATAATGATTTTATTGTTTTCTAATAAAATAATGTAATATGTATATATATTTATATGATTCATGACTAACTATAATACTAAGCTACTATTGATCTTCATGTTATAAATAAATTACAATAAATGTATTTGAACAAATGGATCAATTAGAAATTCAATTAAATTCAAATGACTAAATATACATAAATAGCTACTTCTAAGCATTATGAAATAGACTAACACTAAATGAACTACCTTCACAGCAAATCTAATAACACAATGATACATGTACGTTATTTTTTTTACACGAACTTACTGATTAATTCTTCATTTCTTGATATTCTATCAACAAAGTGTAACATAACTGAACTGAATATTACAAATCTGAATACATTTGCAAGGTTTATTTACATTCATACTCTTTCCAAAGACAAAATATCAGTTCTAAGACTATTTTTAATATTTTGCAGGCCCCTATTTGATTTAATACATTGAAAATAAATTTAATCTGCATTATAAAATGAAAAAAATCATTAATTAATTTCAAATAAAAAAAAATCATATTATAACAATCAAAATCAACTTTTAACATTCAAATAATTGAAGCAAATAATTTTTGTTACTATGTTGAAAATGTAGAAATTAATAAAATATGGTTTTAAAACTGATGTAAGTGAAAAATAAAACATGTAAGTGGTGAATGTGTACTAATCTAATCCCTAAAGGGAGGTATCTACACTACTCACGCCAATGCTATAACTACGAAGTCCAGCCAATTCCATGCGTCTCTAAGGTATGTGAACGGCTGAAGTATGAACCCACGAGCCATCACCTTGACTGCTGATTCGAATGTGTAGATCCCCGTGAAGATCACCCTATAAAACAAAATAAAATTCTTTGAAATATGATCTAAACTTCTTTATTAATATCTAATGAGGAAGAAAAACAAATGATTAACATAACAATAATGAAATCAAATTTGATACAATTTAATGAATTAATTCTCATAATAAATGAGCTTTAAAAGATAATTACATGAGATCAATAGAAATAATGGAAGCCCTTTGATATTGTGGTGTTCCAAAAATAATGCTGAGTGTGTCATGACCTGCACCACTTTTGAGGAAATAAGGACCCAACTACTGAAGGAAACCGGGCTCTGTAATAACAATGATTTTCCTCAGCTAGTCAGCAAGGACTACCTACTAAGTTTTCATAAATGTTGAATGAAGTAGTAGATAAATGTGGCATATGTCTCTTCTTTTAAACTCTTTATTTATTTTATTCCAATAAATAAATAATAGTAGATTTTTGATATGGAGTGCTCTAAATAATCTGGTGGACATTTGTGTTTTTTGCTTTCCTACTTATAATAGGTAAGGGAAATATTACGATCGGGTCAAATTTCCGATAAACTGTTTTTGATGGATCTATACATTTCAGAGCCTCCTGAATCCAAAAAACACATTTTCAGCCATTGGTCTGTCTGTGCTAAGATTTTATCGGGAACTACTGAACCAACTTTGTTGCTTTTTTTTTATTTTTGTAGGGTTTTGATTACTGATGCCTGTGACAACAAATTGGGTGCTCCTTGTGCAATAATTGAAAAACATATTTTTCTATAGACTATAGAACTCAACTCTAATGATTTTGATGAAACTTTCCTATAATGTTCTAATAATTGTCCTTTCAATTTTTGTACATTTACTAAATTTCCGAGAAAATTCAAGAACAAAGGTTATAAAGAAAAGAAAAAAATGTTTTAGGGCCTAACTCGATAAGTATATATTCTATGATAAAATTTATAATATAAATTTTGAAAGGTAATTAAATTACCAAAAAAACAAAAAATAAATCATCGGAATGGAACTAGTATTAGTGATGATACAGCATATTCTATTTTCTACACATGTTTTAATTTATTACTTCCCTACCTATACTAGTTAAGGAAAGTATTGCAATCGGGTCAAATTTCCGATATGCAGTTTTTGACGGGTCTATAAATTTCAGAGCCCCTGAGTCGGAAAAACACATTTTTCCATAGTAATGAAATTCCTAGTCATTTTAGTACTGAAATTTCCTACAAAACTATGTAAAAATCATTCATTTCGGACAACTATACGAAGTCACAGCTATTCAATTTCATATGTAAGATTAGGGGTTCATATCCCAGAGTCAGAAAGGAGTGAATGAGAGATTTTTTGGGAAGTAGGGCACACCAGATTTTTTATTTTTTCTTAATGGACATATTTAAAAATATAAAAACTTTTCTGAAATAGATAGGAAAGTTGTATGAGTGGACAAACCAGATTTTTTTGTAAAGTAAATGTTCTTAGAAATAAATGTGAATTAAACTTGACTTAAAATTTTCTGGACCATTAACTAATGACATTCAAATGTGTAAATACATTCATTAAAGCTATTCTTAGAATAAAATGTGTAGATAAACTAGTTTTATCATCTGTGCCACTATTCGAAGACATTAATTCATTGGAAATTTACAAAATACCATAATTATACGAAGTAATATATACAATGAAGTGTGCATCTTTGAGGTAGTTCAGCTTTGAATAGTGCAGCTGAAAAGTGTGTTCAACATGAGATATGTCTATTTACTTGATGTGGAGAACTAGGTCTAATTAATTTTAACGGGAGATATGTCTGCTTGCATTCTATAGCATAATCGTTGATATATTCATCATTATCTCGTGATATATATTTGATTCTTTTTTATAAGCTTGTACCATGAAATTGTTAAAGAGAAACATAAAATGCATGATAAATGACATAAATGTGTTAGCCTTGTTTGAGAAAAGGAGGTAAGAAAATAAGGCAGTGGATATGTTAAATTACTATGTTTACTATCAAATTAATAGCAGAAGCAATACAAACAAAAAAGCCAAAACCAGAATATCTATGCTGTTTATTATTGATTAATTGATAGTATTTCATTCAGTTTTATGTGAGCACCATTATGAAAAACTTACCAATCCTCAAAAACATCAATAAGATCACAAATGAACATTTTCATATGAATAATATTCATAAAGTCAAAACATATATATTTGAAAATTTTACTATATTTATTTTTTTTGCTGAATTACCCGAAATATCATAAGTAGAAATTACAAAAGTGGCAATTAAATACTGCTGTAGTAATTAATGTATTGAAATCATATAATCAAAATGATGAAGCTAGGCTGATTAAAACTTGCATTATATTAAATTAATCTTAGTTGGTTCGGTAGATCATAGGCAAACTCTTTTGGTTTGAATGATGTATATATTAACATTTTTGTCAGTTTGTGGTTTGGTAGGTATTTATATAATGCTGCTCTTATATAATACTATTATATCTTGCTTTCATTAAAGCAGAACCTTTACTTAGAAACTATTAGTAATTAAAGGACAATGGTTAATTTCAGTAAATTTTAAACATGATGTAAATAATTTGATGCTTGTAAATATGTACATTACATTTTAATATAAGCATAAATAATGATAATAATAATGAGAAAACTAACTCTGTAGACTCGACGGTTGGTGTTGTAGGCATGATCATGAGGACACAGTTGAGAAGAATGGTGAATATGATGAACAAAGAAAACAGAGGATGGACAAGAATATAAATGGCTACCCTACGGATAGGGTTAAATGGGTCAAGTATCCAGAGAGCTTTTGTTGCAGAGAATCTGAAGATATCTCGACCTTTACTAATTACAACAAAGGTCTGAAAAAAGAAAGAAAAAAGATTAAAACCTTGAAAAATAATCTCTTCTAACAAAATATTAATTGAAAATAGAAATAAGTATTTTATGAATACACAGAGAAACACATTTGTAAGAGTATTTAACAAAAACATTTGAAATCATTGAAGCAATGTTATCCCTTTATGAATAAAGTAACCTACTTTTACAGTACATTTAAAAATAAAACCTGTGTTGATTCTATAAAAAGATTAATAAAACATCCTAAGATTTAGTGTTAAAATAGCAATCGAAAGTGAAATTTCATTAAATGTTGATGTAGAAATTTTATAAAATAATTTTTAATCTTGGCTCTTCATTGTTTCATATACATTTTGTCTTAAAGTATTATTTGAATAATAATTCCCCATTCACAGATACTTTTCTCATAAGCAAGAACTCTGAGATAATAAAAGTCTTGGATGCCAGGAGTCTTTATGAGTGGCATGCATTATATATCCATGTTCTTAATTAAAGGTAATTTATTTTACGAATAAATAACTTATTTTATTCTTATTACTTTTGCTTACTAATAAAGCAATATGTACATAAGATTAAAGTGTGAGATTGAGATTGAGATAATGTTATAATTTCATGCCTCCATTTCTCTTAACATCATTAATATTAGTTTATGGGTGCTATAATTCTAATTGAAGAATTTTAATTTAAAAAAAAAATAAAGAAAGTAGGAAAAAACTTTTTACAGTCTCATATATTTATGTTTTGGAGCTTTCGGTACTCTGCACGATATTCATCATTACAATGCTCGTTCCATCCATTTTCGGATTTTGTTCTTAGTATAATAATAATAGGAGTAAGAGTAAGACTGTAAACGAGAAAGTGAAGTATAACAGGAATCCTCTCCACCTATAATAAAAAAGCCCAAAAAATATTTTTTTTGTAAATTAATCTAATATGATTGATAAAATTTATAATAAGAACGAAATCCATATATGGATGGAACGAGCATTGTAAAGATGAATATGCTGCAAAGCACCGAAAGCTCCAAAATATAAATATATGAGACTGTAAAAAGAAGGGTGTTTTTTCTTACTTTCAATATTATTACACAGTCTACCTATTAAACGTAATAAAAATAAATTTGATTTAAAAAAAAGAGCTATTATATTTTTAAAAAAATAAAGATAAATTAAAAAATACCAATTGATTGTGATAAAATGGATCAATATCTTCTAAAGGGATGGAGGAAAGTTCAGCAGGGAAGAGACCATGGAATCTAACGGGAAGTGGAACTCCCTGCTCCAAAGTGGTGTCTGGTTGTGGGCCTTCATCTTCGTCCTCGTCCTCATACCGAACCTACAGCAGCAAAATATATAAATAATTAAAACTTAAAACTAATTTAATTAAAAAATATTTTAAGTAGATGAAGTGATAGAATAGTATTGTAAAAAAAACATATTGTTAACATGCGATACTTTAATACGTGAAAATATATAATTATGCTATAAAAAAAACAACAGTGTTTCTTACGTAGTAACAAGGAAAAATATTTTATTTAAGCAGTGTAAGCAGATGCGAATTGTTATTATTATTATTACACTTATATTTATTAATTTTGTTAAAGTTATCAAATTTATTAGTGTCCCACAATTATTTTCCCTCAAATATATAAAATATCACCTTTGAGCTATCAAAATAAGTCAAAGGAAGTAATTTAATAAAAATACTTATTGATTTTTAGTGTAATTACGACGTATTTCATAGCACGATTTTCAATTCAGACTAGTTCTTATATTACATACAAAAATTATGGATTCAAAATCTGTTTAATATGTAAACCAATAATAATAATAAGTATGCGAAAATAAAAATAAGAACTTATTATTTTTAGGCAAGATCTTACATTAAAACATTACCTTAATCTGATTTTAGAAGGTTTTTTGACTGTCCCTTATTCATTTATCAATTATTAAATTTAACATTTTGAAATGTTTTACGTCATATTTTGTAATCCTTGAGGAGTAAATTCCTTACAGATTTCCAATACTGAAAAATTGGGTTTGTGTGTATTTAGTTTATCAAAATAATGCAATATCAAATTCACCTTATTTGCCACAAAAATCATTTTTATACGAGAATAAAACTCAATAATTTTTCAGAGCCTTGTCTCCATCATCAGACTGCAATGGTTTTTAATTTATTTATTCTCTATGAGCATTTTTTTCTCTCATACGTAAAAAATTTAAGACATATAATCCATTTCACAATTTTGACATGTTCATTAGTAAAAACTTTTATAACAACGTATTTTTTATATAGAAGTTTCAATCCACAATGTGGATTCCACATTATCTCTTTCTCGCACCAACAAACAGAGTGAATATACATTTGAACATTTAAAATACATATTGTCATATAAAATTTAATTAATCGACAAGACAAAGTTGTAAAATGTATTCTTAGACATATAATTCTAAATTTAGAAAATATTGCAACATGATATTGTTTTCGTGTAATAGGATATCATTCTATAAATCAATTACAGGAAGTCAAATTTCAACGATAAACTAATTGAACTATTGTAATTATTTATTGTAAACTAAAAAAAAAAAAAGAGAAACAAGAAGAAGAAAGATATTGAACGAGTACAAATTTTAGAGCTAAAATAACAAATTTTAAAAAAGAATCAGTGAGACAGAATACATAAATAATAATTAAAATGTTATGAATCAAGTAATGAGAAAAATTAGAATGGAATAAAAATAACACAAACAAGTTTACAAGGTTACAATTGGGGAACTTCAACCACAGAGCTTTATACCTCTAAAACGCAGGTAAAAAATAAAATAATCCATCAACACTTTGCCAATTTAGGCAGGTTATTTTATTCTTTCCCTTTAGTTTAGAGACATAAGGCTGTGTGATTGGAATTTTCCATTTGTAACTTAACAGTAATAATAACAATAATATTATTAAAATTCTGAATTATTAATATTAAATTTAAAACAATTAAATAATGACCATTAAATATATTGATTGCAAAAAACCTATAGCCAGGTAATAACTTATATATTAAGATAAATGTTAATTATATTTTAGATTTAAATTTATAAATCAACAATATATGTGAGTGTGTGTTTGTTTATTATGTAATTATACATAGCCAATTGCAATAAAGCTGAAAAATTATAATAAATATATTATAAAAAGATAGTTAAGATTTATGTTAATAAATCAGAGGTAACCAACATAATAAATACAATATATATAGCACCAAGAAAAACACAAAGTTATTTTTATAATAATCTAAGAAAATAGAGGACTACATAAAAAAATAAAGAAAATGCAGAGAAATCTGATTTCTAGTACATAGCCATATTAATTAAATTTTCTAAGGCATGGTTTATCACATTTTTGGTCTACCCAAGAATAAAAAATAAATATAAACTAAATTTAGCAAGCTTGATGAATTTCTTGAAGCCCCGATCATTTTTCGAAATTTAATACTACTTAAATTTCTTATAACTTTCAAATTTACAAAGCCTGTTCATAGTTTTTAAAAATAGTTTTAAGCTGAATTAGTTTATAAGAAAGATACAAACAGAAAGCAAATCATAATATATTTGATAAATCAATGACAGTATAATTTATTTTTAATAGTAATTTCTTTGTTCATTGTAGTTATTCTGAGCGGACTAAATGTCCCAGAATAAAATTTACTTTCTTTCTATCTTATATATATATATATATATATATATATATAGTTAAAATAATAATTACGGTTGTTAATTGTTTTTTTTGTTTTTTTATGAGTATGATCCTATTAATAATTCAAATTAAATTTGAGCCAATGCACATCACAGACTGTTCAAATGAGTCCTGTACACAGAATTTGAGTTATTTTTATACATAAATGTATGTCATAGATAAATGAAGCCAGTAGGTCTACTGGGCTCAGAAATAATCACTCTATAGGTACTTAAATTTGTTTTGTATAATAACAATTATAGATTCTGCAGCAAACCAACTACAGATTATGTTTTAGATTGAAATTTAAAGAGTGTATATAATGACAACTATTTCTACTTTCTCGTATGTATCAATGTAACAAGACATAAGATGAAAATGGAACTATTGATCTGTGAAAGCAAACTGAAAGAAAATTAATATTTTTTAAAATTACAATTCCACTAGAAAATGTAACAATAAAATAATCTTTGATACATACTGGATCTAATCTGGGTTATAAACAAATAAATGAAAACAATAATAATTTAAAGAACATTAATTGCAATAGAAGTAGATACTAAAATGTTTTTGAATTGAATACTTATTACCAAGTCAGTTTTCATGTCAGTATCATATGCGCTAAGCAAACCAATTCTTGAAGAATTGAATGTACAAATTATGTATATATTATGAAGTAATCCCTTAGGAAGAAGGCAATGATTATTCCATTGATCTCTGATTTGAGATTTGAGGGGTTATTGCAATAATAACAAAATAAGGAAAAGGAATAGAAGGGGGATGTTAAATATTTGGACCAAAAATTGCGTAAGTCTACATATAAAAATATTAGACACATGTCCCGGTGTTTCTTTCTGGGTCCAGCCTACGCAAAACCCATTTTCTATTGCAATAAAAATTCTTATTTAAGGGTTTTGTGAGGGGCGAAAAACGAATGTTAAATTTTTTTTTCCTTTCGTCAGCTCAAACTTCCACTGAAGTCCTATAATGCCCCGAATACTAAATTTGTTTCTTCCTAAAAAAAAAAAAAAATTATCCCCACTTTCCTATGTCAGTTAGTCCATATTGTTCTCTTATAACAGTTGCATGCCAAGTATAATATTTTTCTAAACTGGCGGTATCTAGAGTAAAGATATTTTTTGGGAGAAACAAAGCTGACATTCATTTTTCGAACATATACAACTTAAGGACACCCGTGTTGCTGGAAGACAAGAAAGAGAGACAAATAAATAGAATAAATTTGTTCCCTACGTTCAGGACATATTAATTAGAATATTGAAACTTTGAAAATTTAAGAGAGATAAAAGTAGCTTGGCTTGCCATTGTGATTTTAGCATTTTTCCCACAGAGGTAGAAAAGATAATAAAATAAGGTTCCAATGGTTTATAGTAATATAATGGTTTAAATGAGTTATAATAATAAAAGAGACCTAGTGATCATTGAAAAACAATACCCATTAACAATAGTTGATATTGCTACTTAAGTGTTATAAGCATAGTATTATTCAATTAATATATTTATTCAGTATAACTTCTCAAATTTATTGATCCAGGCCGGAATTAGGATATTTGCCAGCAAGGGCAAGCTTAATTTTGCGCCCCTTCTTTCACCTTCTGCCTGTCCTCTGAATAAAAGTCAATATTTTATGTCAGTATTTTAGGTAATGTATTTTGAAATAAATGAATGTTTATTAATTAATTTTATTTATTTTTTGCTTTTTATAAATTCATGAAAGCTCAATAATCAAATTAAATTGTAATGTATTAATTAAGCTACAATATAGTATAATTCAATTGATAATAAATATCTTGACAAAAGATATTCAGTAGCATTATTTGGATAAAGTTTATGACAGAAACTATTTCTTCTTCTTTCAAACCACCTCTTGAAAGATATTTTAATTTATTCTTCCAATTAAGGAAACAGAACAACTTAATATAATCAGCATAAATAAAGGAAAATTATGAGCATAATCTGTTTAGCCTGATGGAAATACAAGCTAAAGAAACTCAACTGATCAACAATCATGATGCTTTAATTAAAAAAAAAAATGTTATGTTTTATCACTAAATTGATGACATTTCCCTCTACACTAGCTAGAATTATATTTATATAAACTAAATGGCCTAAACTAAAATATCTAAAGAACAATAAAGAAAAGGGTTAATATGATTATTTATAACGTTATATGATCATGACAAGCGTGAAGCATTCAAAAGCATAGAGAGCATGCATTGATGAAACATTCAATAAAATTAAAAAATATATATATCTTAATTAAGTTTTCTATAAAACTTAATGCATTTTTTAAAAATTATTTAGTAAATGTGATAAAAATATAATATGATTATAATTATATTTTTTTTATTAATAGATATTTTAGTAATATATTAATAAATGTTTTGTAGAAGTTGGAAGGTGAATAAGCTGTGCATTGTGGATTACATTACTTATAACCCAAACAATGTGTAGGTGTTATTTAACTTAATTTATTTAAATATTTTCATTATTTAAAAACAGGTAGGCAGGAAATTTTAAGATTGCTGGATAGTAATTCTTAAGAGTGAGCGAATATTTAACAGCAAGCCAACATTATTATTTGTTAGTTATGATGCCAAATTATTTTGAATTTGTGAAACTGTTTAAATAAGTAAAGGCGGACAATTTTGTATATTTATACTATACATGCTGTTTATGATTTTTTCCTCCTAGTCCCTGCACAGGATTTATTCAGTTAGTGAAATCTATAACTAGCAAGTGTTGGCCGATTAAAAACGTTAAATACAAGCGAACTTAGGATGCATTCTATTTAAGAACTTAATATTTTGTGTAAATAACTAAATTGTTAGGAATCTAACATTCCAAAAAAGCTTACTTCTTTTTTCTTTTTCTTCCGTCCAAAACCAGCCTGAAAAGTCCAATGTGTAAGATAGAAATAAAGACTAATAGATAGAAGAAAAAAAAGAAATAAAGGCTAATAGAACTGCAGAGTTTTCATTGTCATCGTAAAAATAGCTCATTTACTAAAAGGATATGAAAATTATGTATGCTCTATTCAATTGGTAAATTAAAATAAGTTGATTGACAAACAGTGAATGGTTTTGTTCCATTACTTAGTTGTAGTATTGAGATATCACAAAAAATTATAAATGAATTTGAGGCTTAAATATAAAAATAAATAAATCTTAGGAGAAGTTGTAATAAATTGGGGATTGATAATTTAATGTGCCAATTGGTATTGGAATAAATTAAATTTAATGAATTCATAGAAAATTCTTCAAAAGGCTTAATTCCTCATTTTCAGGATGTAGTCAATGTCAACTTACAGTATAATATTCAGTAAATTTTATTTATTTTGTCAAGTTAAAATGGCCTGTAACAAAACAACTGGGATAACAAAGTAATTGAAACTAAGAATCAGTAAGAAATCTAAGTTACTAGAGGTGAATCAAAAATAAAAACAAGAACTAAAAAAATGGATTTCAAGTCAGAACATAATATGCAGGGGATACATTCCCAAAATAATTGAAAAAAGAGGATTAAACAATAATTATGTAAATAAAATATCATTAAAAAGAAACTGAGCGTTGGTATACAGTGAGGTTAAGGTCGCGTCAAACAATAAAGAAATCAGTCATAATTACAACTGGAATTGAAGTTATTGGAGGCTCAGCCTCCTCCTTATCATGTTAGTTAATATTTTTTACCTCTCCCTCAATTCTTTTCTTCTCCAGTTCTTTCTGTTTGGCATGTTCCTCGGCTATACGGAGCTCGATTGCCTGAAGAGACTCCCGGGTGAAAGGTTGGAATAGGCTTCTTTCTTCCTCCGATAGTGAGTCGGAATGAATGGACATTGTTTGGTGGGAGGAAACTACGACGCTTCTTCTCCCTGCCGCCTCCCTGCCATCTCTCCTCTCCTGAAAACATTAAAAAACTTATTTCAGGTGTTAAATTACTTCATTATAACTAAGATGCATCTTCTTAACCTCTTAAACACACGATGACAGTCAACAGTTGTGGCTCATATTCAAATACTTTGAATGGTTAAATAAAATGCAATATAAAGAATACTGACATATCTACAAAATACAACTATATGACTATTTAGTCCTTACACTTCGAGAGACTAATTGTGATTATAAAATAACAAAAACGAAACAAGGACAATATGCTGATTTTTCTTAATTTTTTTTACATAATTACTCATTTTTACTTTCATTGACACTGTAATAGGCATTTCTTTTAATTGTTGATTTTGATCTATTCGGAACCTATCGGGCCTGCAATGATTTATTAAGGCTCGCAATAAATGTTAACATATTTTTTCATCGACAATGTTGCCTCAAAAGTTAACCAGTTTGTCAAGGAGAGTCTATAACAAATGTTATCTAGACGAGAAAGTTATTGCCAACAAAATTGCTCTTGAATTAGTTAAAATCCGTTCAAAACTGAAAGAGCAGTAAAGAAATCGAAATGAGTAAATTTTGAAAGCTCGATAGTTCGTTTACTCATGGGTTTAAAAAAATATGTTAGGTAATTTTAAATAGTTTAATATTGAATACAACCATATTTTTTTTAAGCTAAAAAGGAGATGTTTTGCGTAGACCAAAAAAAGTTCGAAATTTCAATGGTTTTTGGAGCACTGCAGCGAACCCATCAGGCTTTCAAGGGCGGAAACTTGGATTTTTTATATTCACTGCATACTTAACAATATAAAAAAGAAATTTGAATAACCCGATCTTTTGGAAGGCAACATGTCTAATTTGATTGGGCTATTTCGCCTAACATTCACATTCGCCTGGATTATTTTCCAGAAAAATCTCGAATTTGTGAATTCTGTGTTTGTTTCTTTTTAAAGACATTTTATAAAGGTCAACAAAGTCGAGAACTCAGATTTTTTTTTTTCAGCGTATGAATTTTATTATTTTCAGTTACATTATGTACTCGAATATACAAAATTTAATACTAATATTTATTTTTATGTGTGTGTAAATTTAAATTGAATTTTTTCCCCACACATTTTACAAGTGAAAATGATCTTTCACCTACATATTATTATTTTCTTTTTAATGTTAATAGGTCTTATATATATTGTTATCTGGTCTTTTTTTAGACCTGATGAAGGCCTGAACTTTGGGTCGAAACGTCGTCAAAATAAAAATAAAAATCATTTACACCCCAACAAACTTCTCTACGACAGCCAATTATTTATTCACTATTAAAAATATATACACATTTTTTTAATACAGACGTTTGATGCATTACATTAAAAATCCATTAAACCAAAAAGCATTATATTCATTATTAAACTGGGGTTTAATTTATTTTTTTGCGAAAAGTTCATGATGCAGAGATTAGGCGATTTTATTCAATCAATATAATATTTTATTATTCCGTCATCCAATCCATTTTTAACCAAGTTAATGTCACTTGTAGATTTGAATAATTAAATACTTATGTATATTATATTTTGTTAGAAAGAAAGAAAAATATTTTTTTCAATCATGTTCCGATGAAAACGGAAAATTGCGTCGACAAATGATATCAGGATTGCAATTTATTTTAATAGGTCCTTTATCCGATTGTGATTTGAAAAAAACTTTCAGAAATTTAAATATTATATTTTTCGTTATTTCATTGCTCTAACTCTTATATAGGCATATATTTTATGCAGAAATAGAATATTTCATATAATATTTTATAATATTTTATAAATATTCATATAATATTTTATTTAGAAAATAGAATAATTGATAATGTATAAAACTTATATTTTATTTATGGAAAAGCTAAAACAACAAATTAATGTACATTCAATTTTTTTTTTTTTAATACAATATGTAAGGGATGTAAATATAGTGAGGGAAAATATTATAATTGTGGAAAAATTCGAATCTGAGAGATCTACTGAAATACACGTTTCAAGATCTCGATTCCATATAACCAAGTCCCACAAAATGGTCTGTGTGTTTTATTTATTTTTTTCCCTTCTTGAGAATGATAGTAGGGAAAGCGTGAGACCGGGGAAGGCAGTCTACTTGGCATTCTTGGATCTGAGGGCGGCTTTTGACTCAGTCCAGCGGCAGAAGATATGGGACACACTAATAACAAGAAGAGTGCCAGCAAACTTGGCGAGTTCAATCAAACCGGTATACTAAGACCCAAAGGCTATTGTAAGACTTAATGGTCAGACATCGCGGCATTTCCACTTTTATAAGGGATCACTGGCGGACCCAGGATTTAATTTTGGGGAAATTCAACCCGAAAGATTTTTTTTTCAAATATATAACGATAATTAATTTTTAAAAAAATTAACTACCTATAGGATATGATGTTTAAGTGATTCTTGAAGTCCTATATAATGTAATTACACGAACAATAATATTTTAAGAGATGGTTTTTAATATTTTTTTCTATAAAACATGGTTATATTTTACCGTTTTGAGCCCTCGCTACCCTACTGAAGCCCTCGCTTCAGCCCCAAAGCCCTCCCGTAGATCCGCCTGTGTAAGGGAGTAAAGCAGGGAGACCCCACTATTACTTGTCCTCCTTATGGATGAGATATAGAAGGTGTACAAAAGGAGATGCCCAAGAGCAGTAGTAGGTTTTTGGAATCTAACTCCAGTACTCGCTAAAGCGATGTTTATTTATTTATTTATTTATCAACCCTGCCGTGCCTAGTAGGCAATACGGGTGTCTGCAATAGTAAGATGTTAGGCAGGTCAGCTCAACATCTCACTGCTGCAAATGAATCTCGTTCTTCTGCTCTTTCTTCATTTTTTCCTCTTTCTTCATGGGTGCTTTCCTCATCCGTTTCACGCCAATGGTATAGTACCTCTTCCTCCTCTTCTTAAATTAAAATGGGCTGGCCCCACCGCGACTTTCCACCCGTACACAAAATCTTTGTAGTACGGGTAGTTTTCCGCAGTGACTAACTGAGGAAAATCGTTCTCTGTGAGAATGTAGAGACCGGTTTCCCTCAGTAACTTAGCCCTTAGTTCTTCAAAGGCGGTGCAGTCCACTATGATGTGCTCAGCAGTCTCCGGAACACCGCAGCTAGGGCATAGGGGGTTGATGTCCATCCCATGGCAATGAAGCTTTGCTCGAAAGCCCCCATGGCCTGTGAGAAATTGCGAGATCCAATAGTCTGGGACGATCCACCTTGCTTCTAAACGTGACCGGACGGTGGGGAAGTACTTCCTCAAGGTAGATCCTTTGGGGGTTATCACCCACCGCCGGTTCCATTCCTCCAATGTGTCGTCCCGTATAATGTTTTTCCATTTGCAAGGATTCTCGTCAATTCTCACCTTAAGATGTTCCGGTAGACCTGCTGAGCCGTTTTTCTTAAACATGTGCCTCATCATATCTTCTCGCAGGAGAAGGTCGAGAGGTACCCCTCCTGCTAATACCTGCACCGCCTCATGGGATACGCTTCGATACGACCTGGTGACCCGCAGCAATGCCGTTCGCTGTATTGTCGCCAACTTACTCTTCTGTCGGTGCGAGAGGTTCTGGTTCCAGGCGGGAGACGCATACCTCATGATACCCAGAATCACTCCCTTATAAATTGTTAAGGTTGCTGGGTATCTGAGGCCCCAGAAAGCGCCTCCAACCCGACTGAGACCGTTCAAAGATAGGGCCACTCGCTAAAGCGATGATATATGCGGATGATATCGTACTGATAGCTGTCTCTTCAGGCATGAATGGATGAGGAACTGAAGATAAGATGTTTACAAATAAACCCTAACAAAAGCAAAATGATGTGTCCCGGAAGAGAAAACGCAGAGCCCAGGATTTTGTGTAATGAATAAATAAAAATTGCTCAATTAATAAGACTGTTTAGTTAAAATATAATATTTTAAATTTTATGAATCAAGTGTGCGTATCACTTTACCACTTTACTTTGCGTAGAAATTATTTTCCGGAAAAAATAGGCTATTGCAAGAAGTCCTGGAAGTGCATTTTTAATGTAGGTAAACATTAAAGAATACATCAGTGAATGTCTGTCATATTTATCATAACGAAAACTCATTTTGATAGATCAAAAATATTTATATCGATGGTAGGCATTGAAAACCTCGCAACTCTATCAGTCTATTTAACCACATAAGTCTATTGTAGTACTTACATATATCTCTCTATAAATAAGAAAGGATTGTATTACATAGTAAAAAATCTGTATTCACTTTATTCATGTTTTTAACCTTTGTTAGATTGTTACGAGGTATCGAAAAATCTAATTTTTCATTGCCTAATCGATTTTTTTTGCATTATTTTTATTTTTCTCTCTAATAGTCAATCATCAAATTGTTTCATAGTTTATATTGAGCCATTTTTAATTACTATTGATAATGAGACCCAGCTAATTATTTAAAATAAACCAAGTTAAAGGTACTTTAGGAGAGAAAATTTTAAATATTCGTCATTTAAGCCATGTTAGAGAACATCGAAGTGAATAAGACCTGCCTGATACTAAAGAACATTTAATTGATATAATCAGTTAAATCAGAATCCTTCGAGCCGTTTTCGAGAAAATTGTAAAAATGTGTAAAATCGATTATATAAAGTGGCACTTCAGGTTAGCCGATTTTAGGACAAAAATGTCCAAGGGACATTACATACGTAAGTACATGATTTCATATTCCTGCGGCTTTTCGTTTTTGAGTTGGGCTGTTCACGCACACAAAGACCAAGGGAAAATCATAGAAAGGTACTGGCTAATATAGCCAATTCTAGCCACCACTAGCCACTCAAGCTTTTCGCACTGTGTCCTACGGAACGCCTCATTTCTGGAAGATGGACCCACCGTCTGATTTCCGATATATCAACATGGATATCCCGGCAATATGGAGAA